CATTACTCGTTTCTCTTACGTGTATTGGTTTCCATCATCTTCTTCTCATTCTTCCTCGCTTGTTTTATTTGTTCCTTAAATCGTCTACCGCTACGGTATCTTTGGAATTGATTAGATATTGACTACTTTCAAGATTCGTTGCGTGGGAATTGTTTTTCTTCTTTTAGATCTCGTTCGTCACCGGACGGTGGCGACCTTCTGTTATCTACGTTCCACGGTGTCGTGTTCGTTCCCATTCAATTCGTAATCACATCACGAATTTTCTTGGGTGTGCATTGGCACGGGATTAGGGATCACGTTACAAATATTCCCCATGTTTTTTTAGTCTTGTCTGACGGACACCGTGTTTCTCGCGCGGAAGGAGCGCTACCGTCCGCGATAATTGAGTCGGTGATCGGAGGAGTGCACTGATCTTTTTAAACAATTAATTACTTTTATAATTATTGTTTTATAATTACCAATAATACAGAAAAACAACCAAATTCCATATTGTAAAAATCAATTTGTTATAGTTTCACGTTTTTATTGAAAAGAATTGGATACGTTTTTAATTTACAAAAACTATTTAGTAAGTTGTACAAGCAAGATATTCGAGAAGTTTACTATTTGACTCAGCAGTTTTTAATTAAACGTTCGGTAGTCTGTGTACACTGATATTGTTACGGATTTTTCACTGTCGAGAACAAAATGGTGGATTTAGCTGTTCCCACGATCACCGATGCAATTTTATACGAAATATTTCTGCATCATCGCATACTGCACGCCCGTGGGATACAGAAGTACCCTTTCGTTCGATCGATCTCGTTTCATTCATCTTCGTGTACATTCTAGATATGAATCGTTCATTTTCCAATAGACAAAACTCAGCCGTCATATACGAAATGATCAGCGAAACACATGCAACGTTAATGCTACGGATTTCGAAGATAATTCATACAATTTCCTATGAACGTATTGTTTGCTCTTGAACGTTTGTTGCATTCGCAAAAGAACTTCAATGTCTATCGCTATTATCGCTGCGCTATTTCCTTAATCTATGATGATGATCGAACAAGAAACGGGAAGAATTGGAATTTCCTCGGAATCGTTTTGGAACACACCGATCGTTTGGGAAATGAACGACCCAAAAGTACAATTTCTATTGAGCAAGCATTACATGCTTCATGTCAGCCATCGCCTGATAGTGTAAAAGAACTAACGCGTCACCCTGTGGGTTACTCTTCGAAATCTAGACCTCTTCAGATAGGTTAAATACACCGCAACGACACGCAAAAAGTGCAGCGTGTCTCGAGTTAATCGTCGTCGATCTTAATTATCAATTATTCTCCGCGAGTTTGAGCAGAAAAGTACAATGGAACGATCAATTTCTACCGCTGGCAAACACTAAATCAGCGAAATTAATGTTTGAAGTACAGTAGAATATAAGTATTGTTATAATATCTTGTAAAACGAGTTCAATCCTTCGACTATGGTTATCGTGAATGAATGTGGGAACTTCTTTTGCAAGATCGACTCGTAATCGATACTATTTTCCTTTCGAACGCAGCTTATTCTCAGTTTAGACTCCAGTGAGATATTATTTATCCAATCGATGCACTTCCAAGTGGCCCAAGGTTACTTTTCTTTAAATTTGCAAAGATGATCCGGAGATCGATCGGCAGCTGACCGACTTGCATTATTGAACGTTTTTCAAGTTCCATATTCCTCTCGAAAAAGGGTAGTATTCTTAGGTCTTCGATAAAACATCAATCGTGACACGTTGGGACCTCTTTTATCCGAATGCTGTTTTATTTGAACGTTCTATTATTCGTACATGGCGTGTTTGTACACCGTTTAGTATAAATTGAGCGCTGCAAGTGGTCGCGCGATACAGACGTAGCGCTAAATATACGAAACGATTAAGAATATTGAGATTACGGCACGTATTTTCTAATTAATGAAGAAATAGACTGTAGACAGGGCAGCAGTTACAAAGTTACGAGAAATTTCTAGTGTTATATTTCTTCAAAATAAGTAATAAATATTAATACATTAATATTTCTTTCTCTAAAATATATCAACGCTATACGAATTCAAATAACACAGATCCTATCGTATTAAGTTAAAGAGAAATAATTAGATAAAAATTGATTTCCACGTTCCGCAGTCCAGTAACTGCGAATACCATGCATTTGCAGCAGGCGTCATTACGCAACAACGAACGAAATGAAGTAACTGCATAATGGAACTAATTAACAGGAAAAATGGACGCCTGCCTCATAAATCGCGAAACACGAATTCGCGTTGCCATCCGGGCTCTGTCAAAAACGCTTTACTTTCCCGTCAGGATTCACCTATTTTCTCGAAAATCGCGGGATGAATGCATTTCAGGTGAATTCCGAGGTTCCATTACGTCACAAATTGCATCCGGGTATAAAGTAGGTCCATGCGCGTTCGCCGTTTTGAATTTACAACTGTCAGTAGCGGTGTTTTTAGAGTCGCGCCGCGACAAATTCTCTCGCTGGGCTTTTTTCCGCGAGGGAAATTATGAAGTTACATAATCAATCACGCAATCGTAACGTCGACGACAGCTGCGTTCGATTTGCAAGGACGCGAGGCTGCCAGCTTGCGAACGATCACGTAAAACCGCTCGACGGGCAAGGACTGATTAAAATACAACGGACCGAACCAATGGCCGCCATTTTGGAATACGTCGGTGACGAAACGCTGGCGAAAACAGAACAAATTTCAAAGATAGTTACTTCAAACCGTTAATTTTCTTTTATTATTCACTCGAATTATCAACTCTCTGTGCCAATTACTTCACCGTAATCGGAACAAATCGCCGATATTGCTCAACAATAATATTCAACCCCCGCGAGACGTTACGCCGCACTTAATGCGTCTCCTTTCAGTGGCAAATAATAGGAGAAATAGAGATAGATAGTTTAGATAGAGAAAGAGAAGAAAGAGACAGAGTCAGAGAGAGATATAGAGCTCGTTAAAAAAGACTACTTTCCTTTAAACTCGTGGTCGCTAGAGTCACCCTATAGATTAATAGGGGAGTTTACATTACTTTAGTAATTTCTTGGTCAGTTTACGTAACAGTTAATATTGGTAAAGATCTTAATAAAGTGTCTTGAGAATTTTTAAAACCGTTCGAACGTCTACCGTTATTAGTAATAATAATAATTTTCCCCGTAATAATCATAATAACTCGTAATAATAACAACAATAGTAAATGATTATACTCTCGGTGGTAACGTAGCGATGCTCCGTGTAAATCGCGAGCCGGGTAACGATCTTCCCGGCGAGTTATCAGCTTTTATTCGTCTCGCGTTTCCGCCCTTCGTGATTTTCCTTTGTTTTTGGACTTTTCCCTATTCCCGGGCCGGCTTTCTTTTTCCCCCATCCCCTTGCTGCTCGAATTACCGTCGATTAACCGCGTCCAAAGACGATCGAACCGTTCCGCGATCCTTCGAGTGGCACTCCGCGCTGTTTACCCTCTTCCACCTCGTTACGTTCCTTCTTTTCTTTTCCCTTTCGAGACTCGCGGGCACGTTCGGTTCGCGAGCGTCAGCCAATCCTTCGGAAATTCGTTTGCTACTGCCGAAGCAAAGTGAATTGATCTTTCAGTGTCACCGAGGAAACACTGTTACCAATACGCTGCGCTTCGCTGCAGCCGTCAGTCCCTCCAATAATTCATTTGAAACGTTTATTCGAAAAACGGGTAACCTAAACATCTGTCTTCGCGGAATAGATCTTCGTTTATTCTTATGTATACGTAAAGATCTTCTCGTTATTTGCCTCCATCGTTTTAACTTCAGTTAGCTTCAGTTAGTTTCGTTCTTAACGGAAATTAAAGGGTTTCGATAGATACTTTCTTCGTCATTCACCGAGCATCGAAATTTACGTTGGAATAGTAACTTCTTTTTGAGGTTAAATATCGCGATGTTAAGAGTGGAAGTGTTTAATTGTAATTCGCAACGAGAAAAGTGACTTTTAGAGGTCAGTCGAGTTTCCGCCGACTATAGTTAACAGTGGAAGGAAGGAATAAAGTATGATCAACTGGTTAACTTGTCTCTGTTCGCTACGTTTATGTACAGAGATTTAAGTCCGATTTAAAGGTACGTTCACGCGGGACGCATCGCCCTGTTCTTTACTTCTTTTTCTCGTTTCACTGGCGTCGCGCCAAACGTTTCAGGACTTTCCAGTGGTACCCTTCTCTGTTCTCGTTTGTTCTTAGAGTCACGACGCGTTCTTGTGACTGACGGCGGTGACGACTGATGGCACGAATGATTTCGCGAAATGAAGGCCGTGCATGCTCCCGTCGCGATCGAACGCGTTGCAACTCTGCTCGTGCTGTTCCTTTTTCCATTCCTCTGGAGATGTAATCACGAATCGAGTGTAGTTTTGCGGGAAATGAAATCGCATTCCATGAAAAACGCGATGGTCCAATAAAAATGTAGTTGCACGCTAGGCGCGCAAAGTTGAAGGAAAGAAAAGTTGACGTTACAGATGTTCATTTTTAAAACGGGCCTCGAATGTTACGTCCGAACGAAATATGTTCCTAACTGCAACGCGAAACATGAATTTCATAATAATCGAAATTAATTGATAATATCTTCTATTGCGTTACGGTAATTAAATAATTTCCCCCTACCTCAAGGATTGCGCTTGAAACAGAATAAAATCGAAATGTACAAAGAAGCAAAGTTTCTTGTCTAAGTATTTCGTTTCTTTCCTCGATACTTGGAATAAGTAACGATTAGTGTCCATTATCCTTACTACGAGTATCTAGGGTTATACCTTTCAAATCAGTTAGTCAATGTACACAGGGAGAACACCCTTATTCCCAAGCCAGGGAGGATCCAACCACGCTTGTCCCGCCCCAGCGTTTTCAAACCCACCGAACGTACAAAATTCATATGTACACATATAAAGTACAACATTTAAACATCAATTAAACATTCGATGAATATGAAAACATGGCGCCGGAAGGTGTCAGTCGAATCCGCCCCCAACCAAGCGACAGCGTTCCTCCCGCCTCCTCTCTTGGTACAAACTGTGTTCGAAACAAAGGCCATAATACACGATTCTTTAATTATATACATACACTATATACTATAATGTCGTGTATATTACATAATATAGTATACACATATGTACAGGTATAAACATACAAATAAATCTCTGTATAGTTGAGGGGATTACTTCGTCGACCGGAAGTGTTTGCCTTGCCTCGAACGAGATGAAGAAATAGCTGTTGCATCGGATACCTTTCTTTGGAATTCATCGTTCTAAACATAATATTCAGAAAGAAGGTGTATTTTTAATGTCTAATTCTTAATTAACGTCAACATTTTCGATGTCTCGTTGACTGATGTTTACATTTCCAATATTCCATTACTTCTATTTGTCAATTATAGAAGTTAGGAAAGTATATACTTTTACCCTTTCAAACAACTGTTCCTTAATATCATTCCGAATCAACGAAAACACTCTCGATGAACGAAGCGTTCCGTTCTATATGCTGTGATACAGAGCTTCCTCATTATGAATACACGAAGGAGAGTCGTCAATGAAGAAATTTCTCTCGGGCAATGTATAGATCGCCAATTAAGGTCCTTTGCGCGGGATACCACGATCCATCCTTATAATTATCCGTTCTATCCCTTTCCGTTCTAAATGGTTACGTCTATCGTTCAAGTGTGCGGCGAAAAGCGACTTTCCCGTTTCCCGTGTCCCCCGTTCGCTTCGGTCTCTCACAAGATGGCCGATCTTAGAACCGTTCTCCCTTCCCCATCGGTCAACGGTCGCTCTAGCTCACCCGACGAAGCTTCTCGTTGAAACGAAATAACGTAAAGTTTAATCAACGATTATTCTATTCGTCCGTCGGCCTTCCTTCTCGAGAAAATCCAGTTAACGACCTTTATCCTCCGATAAATCGAATCTCTTGGGTGTGAACATCTTCGGCGACGCGCGCGATCCTCGAACTACTACAGTCTCATCGAAACTATTTCGTTACTTAAAGAATATCGTTTATACTCCCAAAGGTTACGTTATGTTTCTTCGAATGATCGAGACTTCTCCTAAGAATACTGTTCGTTTTTTGCCCGGTTTCATTTCCAATCGGCCGTCCGTTACTCCTCGAACCGTTCACCGGCCGGCGCAAAATGGCGGATACCTCGACCCGTGCCGTTCGACGGTTACAGCGATGACTATAATCCGAAGCGTTGCAACGGGCTCCGTTGAACCGTTAGCTTTTAATCACCGGTCTACCAGATCACCGGTGAACGATCGGCCGCGTGTGAATCACTCAAATCCCCGAACTATCCGTCCAAAGTAATTGGCGTCCGTGTTGGTCGTGCAAATAATCGCCCTCCCCCCGTCCGACGCAATCGCGGCTCCGCGCTGCGTAAACGAACATCGTCAACGGCAGGCGACGCGAAGCGTCCCCGTTCGACGATCTTAACTGTCCACGTGACTGATACTGTACTGTTTACCCAAACTCCCGGGTAATCAGTGCTCGCCCGGGTCAGGTCATCTTCGGTTTCGCGATTCGAACGGGCTGCATAGCTCGATTGGTGTAGTCTGAGTATGGTTGTGCTCGAATCGAGAACGACTTCAGGAGATTAGGGGCTTCCCAACGTTCATTCCCACAAGAATAACTTTTGTTTTGAAAGATTAAGCGATTATTCGGAGAAAAGAAACAGGAAATTGGGACGAGAGTTGAGAACATTGGATTTGCTATGCCACAAGGTCTAAGTAATGTTTTAATCGGATCAGGCTTAGGAAAATCTTTGAATTTTGAAAAATGTAGAAGATTAATAAAGAAGTGAATAGGTATCTCGTAAAGTGGTAGATTCAGAATGCATGAATTACTGCATTGTAAAGTGTGAACGCGTGAAACGTATATCGTAGCGAACTTTCAAGCATTTCGTACTCGACGCACATAATTACGGTTGCGCAAAACTTTTTTAATAAACGGTAAATCGTCGAAAGTGTTCGGAGCAACGAAACATGTAATATCGGATGTAAAACGTAGAGTGGGAAGCCCCTCTTGTTCTTCCCCGACCACCAGAATTCTTCTCACCGACCGACTATATCATCGGACCCGTCACGAACGTGCCCCTCTCACGACCACGCGCCGTTCCGTCGATGATCTCGATGATTACCTACGGCTCTCGTAATTTATACATTATTAATACTTATAGAATCGGTCTCTAATCGTCTAACGCACCGATCTCGAGACTGTTTTTCTGTTTTTCGTCGTTTTATTAATTTTTTTTTTTTAATTCTTCATTAAACTTGGCG